TCTGAACTCTGGGCAATTCTAGTTTTTTGATGCCAGCTCTAAAGGAAGAAAACCCTGCCTCTAGAATTCTAGATATTTGTCTTGAGTGAAACTCATTCAGGGTGGTGATCAAAGCACCTAAAAGGACAGGACAATGGGATATTCTCCAGCCTATAGTTAGAAACAGTTGTCGGGAACTGTTTTTAATTTTCTGGTCAATTAATGTTCAATTTTAAAATGTCAGTGTGGTACAATGTGATCCGTGATTTGATTTCCCTTACAGAATGTGATAAGATCATGAAGAAGAGGTGACCCTCACCATCTCAACTTCTGGCTACCACAACCTATCAAAAAGAACCTAAGAGCCAAATTGGCTTAGGGACAGGAACCTTCCAGGGCCAAGGCCTTGGCCTCTGTGCTTCTTTATTTACATATAACACTGGGGGCAATCTCACCCACTCCCATTTCTTAAATAACATTCAAGTATTAATGGTTTCCACATCTCTCTTCTGGGCTCCAGGCTATTATAACCAACTGCCCACAAAATATCTTCCCTTGGATATCCCATGGCATGCTCAGTACTGAACTCACCCGATGCCCCAGCTAGCTCTTTCTGTGTCCCCGTCTTAGTCGTTGCCAAACACTGGTCCGTAGACTGACCACAAGAGTCTCACCTAAGGGGAACTTATTAAAAACACAGAGTCTTAGCTCTTACTGTGATCTTTTGAATAAGAATCTCAGTGTAGAGCCTAGGAATCTGAATTTTTAACAATCTCCCTAGGTTGTTCCACTGTACCACCAGATTTAGGAAGTGCTGCCCTATATGGCCTTACTGCCTCAGCATCACCAAAGCCAAACATTGAGTGCCATAACGAAGAGTAGGCTTAAACGGGGAAATCCTCGAAAAGAACAGAAGCAAACTTGACTTACTCATTGAAGAGGCAAAAATCTGCCATCTGTGTGTCCTGGTCTATGTTCACTCTCCTTTGTCTCCCCTGACAGCAATTTTATGGCTCTCACACATTCTGTTTTTCCTTTTCTAGGGACAGAAGAACTAACCGGTGATAGTCTATGTTTTCCTCTGTGAGTACCTTTAGTGAAAACATTGGAATTATTTACTTTCATAATTGACCTTATGTACTGGTGTTAAACAGTAGAGATGACTTTTTTTCCACTCTGGGTAACATTTCTTGGTGTTAAGAACTTAGGGAAATTCGATTTCATCAGATCTTGTAGAGGCTGATAGGCCTATAGTAAGTTCTATACAGTCTATAATAAGTTCCCAGAAAAAAATCTCTGGAAATAAATGTCACTCCTGACTAGCACGCCAGACAAACATCTCTTAAGTTGAGGCTGAAGTTGTCCCTGGTTCCTGAAGATTAATTTAAGTGCCCCCTCTAAGGCTTCCCCTGTGTCTGCTCTATCTAGTACTATAGGATATGCTATCATTACGTTTATACAACACTCCCTTCTCCAACTAGACCACAGGCATTAGGCATCCTGAAGATAGTTGTGCCACTCAGATTCCTGGGCACAACACGTGGTGTCACGGGGCTGGTAGAGGCCTTCAAGAGTCTAACCTCCGATGTTCAAATGAGTTTGGGGGCTGTCTCTCATGGATATTGTAGCGTAGATCCCGCAGGAAGTCTCAACTCAGTGGCTTCTAGTCTGTACATGATAATGGACGAGAAAAAGAAGGAAGACCAAGGACAGAGATCGCTTCTTTGAGTGCATAAACTGTGAGTGGTGTGACCCTTCAAAGCAGAGGTGCCAGCCAGGCAGCTGGCAGAACCACTGGCCTCCTCTTCTCGGGGCCCCTCCTAGTCACACCCCTACCTGCCAGCTTACAGCCACTGGGCTGACTCAGGCAAAAACGAAGCTAATGAGGAGGGTTTTGAGGGGACCCAGGCCCAAAGAGACTGCAGATACAAGTCACTTAAAGAAAAAAATATATATACATCTAAGCACATTATCACAAAATCTAGTGTGTCCTAGAAGATACTGGTTTAAGCTTTCTCAAAGGCTATTCTGTCGGCTTTTTGTTTTTGTTGTTGCTGTTTTTGTTTTTTTTTTTTTACATCCCTGCCAAACCATGGTTTGCTTTTGTTTAAACATCTCCGTTCATGGGAAACACCCTCCTCTCTGAGGAAGTCCGTCTCCTCTCGGAACGGTTCTACAAGTCAAACCCCTTGAGGAAACTGAGGCACAAGGAACCTGACTTTGAATAAAAGAATCACAAGACATTAGTCAGAAGAATACCTAGTGCTATTCATGTGCAAAAGTCTTCATTTTAGGTCCGAGGGGGGAAGCCAGGCCCTCTGGTTCCCTGTGTAGTCTCCTCCTTCACTGATCACATGCAGACATTTCCCCACAGAAGCTTGTTTAAAGGGATAAATGAGATTCTTTCAGGCTCAGATATACTTGGGATTAAGTTGGCTTTTGAGCTTGTCTGTTTTCCTATTGGACCTGCCATTCCTCAGGGGACCTGTGTTCAAGATCCATACAGTCGACTTCTAAATGAACTTTCGATTCACCGTTTTCTTTAGAATTAATTCTCTTCTAGATCAAGAGAAAAATAGTTGTTTTCATCATTGCAAAAGGGTTTTTCATAAGTATCCAACGAGGCAATAAAAAATAGAGCAAGTGAACAATGCTTGAAGACAAGGTGCAACACTGACTTCTTGTATAGACTTAAAAGGATAAGTTACCAAGAGAGATAGTAGAACCCCCTTCTCTGGGTAATTCTTAAAAAGAGACTAAAGTTGTACCTACTTAGAAGGGTTTAAATATGACCTGGGTGGAAGCCCTTCCACCAGCTGTATTGGCTTTCTGCCTTCTTTGAACAAACATACTGATGGGCGTTCCTCCCACATCTTGGTTTCATCTGAGCTCCTGGTGCAATGCCACACACATACACCCAGAGTCACAGTCCCAACCCCGTGGCCAATATTTGTACTTCCATCCAGATACTTTTGGGATGCTTCATGATGAAGAAAGACTCTTTTCCAAGTCCTTGAAAACTGTCGGGGTCATGCAGGAAGAGGAGGGCAGTATCTGTCTGCTTAATTGGGCTCTAACCCTGTAGCATTAAGGTTTATAAAGAGCTTTCAAAAGCAGGACTCATTCAGTTTGCTCAAAAAACGAAGAAGGCAGATATGTAGGCGCACACTGACTTTTTATTGTGCTATCTTTATTAGCTATCTTGTTTTCATTATTAGAAGTCTGGAATTGGAATGTATAATCTACCCATCAGGAGCATATATATTTTGAATTAGTAGAGCCTGTGTCATTTCTTTAGGTCATCTCAGGTCACAATGTTGCGGCCAAGATGTGGTTTTCTTAATGTACAAAGATATTTATTAATAGCAGCACTTATGATAAGAATAGAGAACCAATGCTTCCCACATTAGAAAGCGTGAAGGAAAAACAGTTTCCAGAGTTAGGTATATGGGTAGATATAGCTATAGGATTTTTATTTTTTTTCTTTGTTTATTTTTAGGATTTTTAAATAGATATCCTATTGGCTCTGTTTCTCTGGAGAACCGACTACTACAGCATCAGCATTTTCTAAAGCTTTCCCAGTGGTGGAAATGTTCAGGTAGAGTTGAGAACCTCCAGTCTAGGAGTGCTTAATCCCTTAGGGGGTCCATGGATGGCTTTGAAGAGTCTGTGAACCCTTGGAACTCACAGATGAAATTGTGTCTGTGTGTTTACCAGCTCTCATTCAAACTCTCAGCTGGTCCTCAGACCCCCTCCCCGACATCCCTGCCAAACCACTGTTTGCTTTTGTTTAAACATCTCCGTTCATGGGAAACACTGAGGAAGTCCGTCTCCTCTCGGAACGGTTCTACAAGTCAAACCCCTTGAGGAAACTGAGGCACAAGGAACCTGACTTTGAATAAAAGAATCACAAGACATTAGTCAGAAGAATACCTAGTGCTATTCATGTGCAAAAGTCTTCATTTTACAGAGGGAAAAACTGAGGCATGGAGAAATTAGGTGTCTCGCCCAAACTGAGAGTGGTAATGTTAGGCCTGAGGGGGGAAGCCAGGCCCCCTGGTTCCCTGTGTAGTCTCCTCCCTTCATTGATCGCATGCAGTAGAGTCTCTTCACGGAGGTAACCTGCGGTGGGACACGTCAGAGGAGCCAGGCTGGGGCCTGACTGAGGGAAAACCCTGATTCCCCATCTCGGACCATCCCTCTGGAAGGCAGAATTGGCCCGCTTCCTTCTTTCGTGCTGAATGCCTCTCCATCCCCAAAAGCCCCCACGTGGTTGAAGGTGAAGTTGCCAAGAAAACCCAGGTCGACGATCATACTGATGCTGTACAAGGTACCAGCTGGGAGACACCGGTCTATCTTATCCCCCAGAAAGACAGGTGCAGGCACTGAAGGGAAGGGGCCATGAGCATGTTCTGCCTCTGGTCCTCTGGAAGGTGGTGTGTGATGATAAAACAGTGATCTGAAGGTTTAAGATCCAGCCCCACAGTGGATTTGTAACTATGTGTTAAAAGTTAAGTGATATTAAAAAAAAAACACTGACTTGTTTAGGGTGGAATCAGGCTCATTAATAACTTGGACTCATGATGTTCAATATTTCAATATCTTCCCTTTACTACCGAGTAGCTTAATATCCCCTAGGCTGCTTACTCTCTCTGAGCCGGATTGCCTCGTCTATAGATTAAGGTTAATAATATCCAGCTTAGAACCTCAACGAACTGTTGGATGGAGCAAATTACATAACCTATAAAGGGGCTAGCGGGGTGCCTGGCATACAGGATGTAGCCAGTCTTGGTGGCTGTTACTATTATCGCCACAATAATCAAAATGCAAATATTATAATGACCAATTATTCTCATATATGCCTTGTCTCACCACACAACCCCCTTTTGAAGACAGAGGTGATGTCACAGTATATTCTGAATCCCCCTGATCCCCGTAAGCATCAAAAATACCCCGATCTGTGCCCATGACAGGTATCAGTAAGAACTTAGGTTGAAGTGAATCGAATGAAACACACCTACCAGATTAGTCTGTTCTTTCAGGGGTATTTCAGATCCAAGTTCTGCCTCGAGGCTGACGGAGTCAATGCATTCAGCAAGTGCACCCTCGGTCACTTCTCCATTGAGGGGGGGCTCCGTGGCACTGGTGTGTTGGGGCTGCTCAAGATGCCCAGTGTCAGTAGTCTCTGCACCCTGGATGGTGGCATTTTCATGCCCATCTCCTCTGGCGTCAGCTGCTGTCGGCTCATTTGAAATCATAGCTGAATCACAGTGCGCTTCTGTGCCTTCGGGCGAAAACTCACTCTCGGGCATCTTGGCAATTTCTGCTTTGTCTCTAGTGGCTGAGGTGTCACCAGCATCGTCAGACATTTTAATATCTGTCAACATGATTACAAACACTTTCCGCTTTAATCGGAATTGTTAAACCTGAATCCAAAACCCCAAATAATCAAATCTGGTAGGGGAAGACTTTCTTCTACGGATAAGAAACCTTATGTAACCTTGGGGTAGGCTGAAATACGGCCCCCAAATATATCCATATCCTAATTCCTGGAATTTGTGAGCATTACCCTTATACGGCAAAAGGGATTTTGTGCATGTGGTTGAATTAAGGATCTTGGGATGGGGAGATTATCCTGGGCTATCTGGGTGGGTCCTAAATGAAATCGTAAGTGTCCTTAGGGAAAGGCAGAAGGAGATTTGACTAGAGAGAGGAGAAGGTGATGAGAGGACAGGAGCGGAGCTTGGGGTGATGAAGATGAAGGAGGGGCCACAAGCCAGGGGTTATGGGTGACCACTAGAAGCTGCAAAAGTCAAGGAAACCATTCTCCCCTCAGCGATGCCAGAAGGAACCAGACCTACCAACACCTTGACCTTAGCTCAGTGAAACTGGTTTTGGATGTCTGACCTCCAGAACCATTAGAGAATAAATTTGTGTTGTTATAAGCCACTAAGTTTGTTGTAATTTGTTATAGCAGCATAGAAAACTAATACAACCCTATCTCCAAACTTTCATGGATCTCTTATGTGGTATATGGGGATATGTGTATGGGAACTAAGAGTATCATCTCCATCTGTGAAATTCTTTAATATCACTTTATTAATTATAATTGTAGCAATAATGAGAATAAGCACAGAAAATACCTGAGGGCTTATCGAAAACTACTTGACATCTAGCTTTGCAACATCATCGGAGAGTCACATTGAAAAAGAGACATACTTTGTCTCTTTGTTGGACACCAGCTGGTGAAGGCCTGGGCTCTGTTGGACAACAGTTTACACAGGGAAACACAGGAGGAGTTGGAAGGGAAAGAAGTGCAGTATTAAGTCAAATGAGGCATGTCACCATTACAAAATTACCTACAAAGATGAAAACTCTTTACGAAGCTTGCAAGTTATTGTATCATACAGGACAGCACCATTCAACAGAAGTTTTTGCAATGATGAAAATGTTCTATGTTCACACTCTCCAATGTTGTAGTTAATAGCCACATTGCCTATTGAGCATATGAAGTGTGGCTAGTGCAACTGAGCAACTATATATTTTTTTAAAGATTTATTTATTTGAGAGGGGTGGGGTAAAGGCAGAGAGAGAGGGAGAGAATCTTAGACTCCCTGCTGAGAGTGGAGCCCATTGTGGGACTCGATACCCTGACCCTAAGATCATGACCTGAGCCAAAATCAAGAGTCGGATGCTTACCTGACTGAACCACCCAGGTACCCCACCCCCACCCTTTTTTAAAGTAGATTCCACACCCAGCATGGAGCCAAATGAGGGGCTTGAACTCACGACCTTGAGACAAAGACCTGAGCTGAAATCAAGGGTCAGATGCTTAACCAACTGAACCGCCCAGGCCCCCAGCAACTACATTTTAAATTTTATTTAATTTTAAATGATTTATGTTTATATTTTACATAAGCATACATTGCTAGTGGTTACCTTACTGGATAGCACAGATCTACAAGGCTAGTTCGAGATGAAAATTTTCTTAAGCTAACCTGAACACACAGTGCTCTCACTACACCAGAAGCCAAGTCTCAGTCAAATCAGTGGGTATTTTTGTTGACCTCAGTGTTTACCAATTGGTCAAACCTCAAGTTGCTACTAAAGCCACGGTATGTAAGAAGCCACTTAACATACTGGTTACATGGAGTACAGGCTTAGAATCACACGCACATGTAACTCTGGTCCCTCACACAGCTGTCCCTAAGGTTGTCTGGCTATTGTCCTTGCTCGTGCTACATTGTCTCCCTTGGTGAATCACATTCCTTTCTCAGGGTTTCACACACCACTCTCAGTGTTGTGAGTTTCAAATATCTACCTCATTCCATTGAGATGGAATGTGAATTAGTGGTTTCCAGGAACTGAAGGGAAGGGGAATGAGGAGGGACTGCTAATGGGTATGGATTTCTTTAGTATGTGATGAAAATGTTCTAAAATGAGATAGCAGTAATGCTGTACAACTATGTGAATATTCGGAAGACCACTGAACTGTATGCTTTCAAAGAGTGAATTCTGTCATATGCGAATTATATCTCAATATATTAGGAGTAGGTATAATACATATAACCTATAGTATTACATGTTAATAATGCTGTCATTAAAAAAAATCTATTTCTGGATAAGTAATTCCAATGGCCAGCTGGACATCTCTTCCCATCCAAATGGAAACCTGTTGTCTTACTGTTAATACTCGTTCTTCCTCTTGACTTTTGTGTTTCTTTTAATGGTACCTAGATTTCCCCCATAACCCAGGCTTAAAACCTCAGGGCTGTCATTAACTAAACCTTCACTCTCTCAGGAATATATAACATCGGCAGCTATCATTTATTGAGTGCCTATTAAGTGCAGACTCCTTACATGAATTGTCTGCTGTGAGTTAGATAATACGATCTCCATTTTACAGATGAGACAACTGAGGCTCAGAAGTCACCCTTTCAGTAAGCGGCAGATTTGAGATTTGAACCCACATCTAACTTTGAAATTGAACCATATCAGAAATGTACCTACAGCCTCTTCTCTCACATTCACCCAGTGCCCAAATCCTAGAGGCTCTTGATTCAGAATTCATGTCTTGTCTTTTACCTCTCACCTCATGGCCACCCATCTAGCTCAGGTTCTCATTATGTTTCACACTGATAGTTTCAACATTGGGTTCAGCCCTCCCCTGTTGTTCTTCCTTTCACTCCCCATCCCTCCCCATCCTGTTCCTACATCCTCAGGGCCTTCCCACTTACTACTGAGATGAGGCCATCTCACCTTGGTTAGAGTTACTTGAGCATTTTCCTATTCCAGCACATTGTAAATACTATGAAGACAAGGGTCTTCCTTGTCTTGTTTTCATATTTTATGTAGCACTTAACGTGGTTTCTTGAATATAGTGGGAAGCTCAACGAATATGTGTGTTGTTATATTGCTATTTTTGGAGACTTAAAATTAAAATGTAATTTCGATTAGTGTTTTTGTATTTCTTGGGTAAATACCTAGTAGTATGATTATTGGATTGTAGGTGTACCTCTATGTTTATAGCAGCATTATTTACAATAGCCAAACTATGGAAGCAGCCCAAGTGTCCCTCAGTAGATGAATGGAAAAAGAAGGTGTGAGATATATATATAATTCAGCCAGAAAAAAGAATGAAGTCTTGTCATTTGCAATGACATGGATGGAGCCAGAATATAATGCTAAGCAAAATAAGTCAGTCAGATAAAGACAATACCGTATGATTTCACTCACATGTAGAATTTAGGAAATAAAACAAAGAAAAAAAAAAAGCGAGAGAGAGAGACAAACGAAGAAACAGACTCTTGACTATAGAGAACAAACTGATGGACACCAGAGGGGTGGTGGGTGGGAAGATGGGGGAAACACGTGATGGGGATTAAGGAGTGCCTTGTGATGATCACCAGGTGATGTGTGGAATTGCTGAATCACTATATTGTACACGTGAAACTAATATAACACTGTATGTTAACTATATCGGAGTTAAAATTTTTAAAAATGTAATTTGAAATGAAAGCAAGCAGAAAATGCCTTTACCCCATTTACTACTCAAGAGCTACCTTACAGCCAATGGTTCCAAATGATCCCTATTGTCTTCCCTTTTTCCTTCACCTCCCAATGAACTAAGTTAGAATGTTTCCTTTCACACAAACAATCCTTGAATTCAGTAATAACACTCCTGTAAACAAGTCTATGGGCGGGAAAGCAAAAAATGCATACGTCTCTTTAGCTGGCATATAAAGTTGAGGATAGGGAAGGTGGGAGGTGATCTGTCAATGAGGATGGTCAATGCCTAGTTGAAATGATAAAGAAGGAAACAAGGCCACTGTACAGGAAAGGTAGTTGCCGTGGCTTATGGGAGGAAGGCAGAATTGAGTGAGGCTACTTGAGAAGCTGCTGTCCTTTTGGAAACTTATAAAATCTTCTTGAAAATCCCTGAGGCAGGACTGGGCTAGGACAGGGGGTTGGCAAACTGCAGCATGCTGGCCAGACCTTGCCCTCCGCCTGTTACAGTAAGTAAGATTTTACTGGGACACAGACATATTCATTTGTTGCTGTACTGTCTACAGCTTCTCTAGTACTGCAACAGCTTTGTTGAGTAGCTGAAAAGAACTTTTGGCCCGGACGCCTGGGTGGCTCAGTCGGTTAAGCGTCTGCCGTTGGCTCAGGTCAGCATCCCCAGGTTCTGGGATCGAGTCCCACATCAGGCTCCATGCTCAGCAGGGAGTCTGCTTCTCCCTCT